GAAACAACAAATTTTAAAAGACTGCACTCATAATATTCAGAAAGAAAAGACCACTTTTCTTGAAACATTTCCTCCAACAAATTCGGAAAATGTAGATAAAAAACCTTCTTATGTTAAACAACTCCGTTATGATCAGATGAATGATATCATTTAACTTGTTCACGGAAGCATTTCAATATGCCACCAAATGTGAAAACATGCGTTTGTAAGGTCTGTAACATAAATTTAAATAAATACTTTTGTCAAACGTATTCAACCTTTGTCACTGTAGGTGCCAATAACTGTATGATCAAGAGCCAATAATACTACTCGAAGAATAACTGCGATAATTTAGTATTTCAAGTTCAAGATTTATTTGAAAAATATGTATTAAAAAAAAAGGATTTTGTTTAGATAGTTTGATTCCTAAATCTTTGGTGCAACATATAGTGCTATGGGGGTTGCTATAAATTATTATTTTAAATTTTAGATCATAGAAATAGAAACTGATGTTTCTTAAAGTGCCAATATAATATAGTTTACCCTAGTTAAGGGTAGATTCAATTTATTCAACTTTTTTATGCGATCGACACAGTTTGCGGGAGTGTGCTGTTTATTTTTAACTCTGGACACCCCCGGTGCTTTAGGGTTGCCTACTGAGACAAAATGAGGGCAAACATGGAAAAGCCATATATTATGGAAAGCCTTAAGTATTTCTTTAAGGGGGTTTTCTTGGCGTTGTTTGGCGCACACTAAGAGGTCTTTGTTGAGCGCTTGGAAGGCTCAGAGGCCAGTAAGAAGTCGGTCCAGTTGGTAGATTTGAAGCTAGTTAGCCTTGCAGCCTCAACATTTTCCCGATTATCTATCATGGGTTGAACGATATGTGAATATAATTTCTTGCAGCGTATACCACCTACCCACTCGTAGTCAAATGCCGGGGAAAACGGCAAATTCCACTTTGCATCTTTTTACATAAAAAGCTCAAAGATCGACGTCGAGATTTTTCCTCGCTACTCCATTATGGAGAGAGGAAAATTATCTTGAAATGATAAGCCTTCGTCATTCGAAACACGACCGTGTGGGCCTTCGTGGGTTTGTGTTTCCAACTTTGTTTTTAAATATGCACAGCCAATAGTGTGGAGATAATTCAAATTAACAAGCAATAGAGTGTGCAAAAAAACTTCTGGAAAAGTTATGGAAACTTGCTGCTTGGCCCTCGCATGACATGCGATTCAACTTGGTCACGTACTTTCTTTGATATTGCTTTTCCATGTTTACTACCGTTCCTTTTCAATGCCATTTTTTCTACACAGTGCCAACATTAAGGCGTCTCCAGCAAACTGTTGTTCAGTTCGTAAGAAAAAGCTGAAAAACATCCACCTAAAGTGTGGCGCCTCAGATTAGGCAAACCTAAGCTATTGCTTGACCTGTTTGCTTTGTTCCAGATTGCTTAAGCGGAATCAAATCATGTCGATTGACGAGCTGGCGTTTTCGAATATCAGTTCCCTAAGAATACTGTAAGTATCGTGTGTGACCCACTTGCAAATGCGCCAAAAACGGAAATAATATTTATTGTTTGCGTGATAAAAAGTTTTTATTTGTTGGACTTAGCGAGCTGGATGACAACTATCTGACTCAAATTCCGCTGGCGATTACCAAACTTCCGGACCTGCAAGAGTTGTAAGTTTTCAAATGTTTGTTTGCTTTTCCACATCATTCTTCAAACGGCCAAAGCTGGAGCGCGGTTGGAACTTTAAAACAAAGAGTTGGAAATTTTGCTACTCTGAACAGTGAAGCGGTTGCAATTTTCCTCTGGCTGTAAACCGCCATATTTTTCGCAATTTTATTGCCCAACGAGCCAAGAGAGAATAGTGGCAACATACAAACTCGTTCAAAATTGACCAGTCTTTTGATGGTCTTTAACTATAAATTACTTGATGATATGAATATTTTTTTAAAGCCTTAATTGATCGCAAAAAATGCAATTTTGAATGGAACGAAGTGACGTTGGTTTGTTTTGCAGGTCAATATCAGGCAACAGGATTAAATACATTGCAGGTGGACTTTTGCAGCAAACTCCAGCGTTAGCCCTGTTGGAGTTGAAGGGAAATCCACTTGTGGCCGTCGATTTGCATGCTTTTTCCCATTTGCCCAGACTACGAAAGCTGCAAGTATTATATTGCGCTTATTTTTTTGCTAACTGTTGCATAACTAATACCGGCGCCAACAAATAACGTTGTTGAGGCTAAACTTTCTTTTAATTAATCTTGCTAAGCAAAAAGATGAACCGATTTTTTTACTGGGATAAAGTTCAAAGTTGTGTTAAGTAATGGTTTTAAAACACTTTTGGAGAAAGTTTTAACTTCCCTAATCGCTAGAAGCGACTTTAGAGGACGTGCACAGCGAGCTCGGCGATGCGACGCAACGCGATAATCACGGAAAACTTAAAAACCTCACTTAATAGGAAATTTCTGGGAGTTTCCAGATACTAAATCGAGACGATTGGTCGTTGAACACGGATTTTTCAAAAATTCGCAAAGAMGAAAGCAAACATTCCTGAATGCGGTCCATAACATCACTCGAAAGATAAAATCGGCTGCTTTAAGTGAGGRAAAAYTCACTTAATTAGGAAACTTCTGGGAGTTTCCAGGATGTTTTCAATTAGTAAGGGATAGCGATTGGCCGTTGATATAGATAGACGGTTTTAAAAAAATGTCAAGGAAAAACCAAAAGTTTTCCAAGCCTGCCCAGAATATCACTCGAAAGAAAAAATATGCGGCTTTAAATGAGGAAAACCTCATTTTAATAGGAATATTTTGCGAGTTTCAGGATTTTTTCAGATACTAACTCGAAGCGATTGATCGTTGGAAAACACGGATTTTTCAAAAATGTGCCAAGGAAAAACCAAAAATTCCTGAATGCGGTTCATGACATTATTCGAAACAGAAAATATGCGGCTTTAAACGAAGAAAAACTCACTTGAATGGGAAACTTCTGGGAGTTTCCAGGATGTTTTCAATTACAAAGAGAAAGCGATTGGCCATTGGAATAGATAGACGGATTTAAAAAAATGTCAAGAAAAACCAAAAATTTCTCAAGCCTGCCCAGAACATCATTCGAAAGAGAAAATATGCGGCTTTAAATGAGGAAAAACTCGCTTGAATAGGAAATTTTTGGGAGTTTTCAGGATTTTTTTAGTAGATACTAAATCAAGGCGATTGATCGTTGGCCAACACGAATTTTTCAAAAATTTGCCAAGGAAAAACTAAAAATTCCTGCATGCGGTCCATAACATCATTCGAAAAAAAAATATGCGGCTTTAAATGAGGAAAACCTCACGTTAATAGGAAATTTTCGGCAGTTTTCAGGATTTTAGTAGATACTAAATCAAAGCGATTGATCGTTGGGCAACATGGATTTTTCAAAATTTCGCCATAGTAAAATCAAAAATTCCTGAATGCGGTTCATAACATCACTCGAAAGATAAAATCGGCTGCTTTAAGTAAGGAGAAACTCTTTTGATTAGAAAAGGTTTGGGAGTTTCCAGGATGTATTCAATTAGTAAGGGATAGCGATTCGCCGTTGGTATAGACAGACCGATTTAAAAAAAAATTGTCTAGGAGAAACCAAAAATTTCTCAAGCGTACCCAGAATGTCACTCAAAAGAAAAAATATGCGGCTTTAAATGAGGGAAACCTCGTTTTAATAGGAAACTTTTGGTAGTTTTAAGGTTTTTTTCAGGATACTAAATCGAATCAATTGGCCGTTGCTAAACAGGGATTTTTGAAAAATTCACCCAGCTAAAACCAAATATTCCTGAATCCGGCCTATAACATCGCCCGAAAGAAAAAATTGGCAGCTTTAAGTGAGGAAAAACTGAGTTGATTAGGAAACTTCTGGGAGTTTCCAGGATGTTTCCAGTTACTAAGGAGAAGCGTTTGTTCGTTGGTATATACAGACGGATTTTAAAGAAAATGTGAAGAAAAAACCAAACATTTCTCAAGCTGACCCAGAATATTACTCGAAAGAGAAAATCTGCGGCTTGAAATGGGAAAAACCTCACTTTAATAGGAGATTTGTGGCACTTTCCAGAATTTTTTCCGATACCAAATCGAAGTGATTAGCCGTTGGAAAACACGAATTTCTCTCTTCTAATTACCGATGTCTCCAATAACAGCATGAGCGTAATGAATAAAAATCCATGGATAATGGAAAATACGACCTTTAACTCATAAGACAAGTCTTGTCTCTGTTGGTAATTAGAAAAAATAAAACTAGCTTTACAAACAACTGCATCGACTTTACCTTAAAGGCTCATAAAGTTGGATTATCCACATATTACACACGTACATTCTAATTATATTGAACAGCTACAATTAGACCCTACGGGGCATAGCTAAGGATGGCTCAAGTTGGTGCTTCAAACAACATTGAATAATGAATGGCATTAAAGTGGGAAATGCGATGAAATAAAGTTCTTCCGTAATCGATTAAAACCTTTTAGGATTCTCTCCGACGCCAAAGAGCTGTCAACGTTTCCCCATTTGAATGGAACCAGCGCTTTGGAGGTGCTCAGGCTGGATAGGGCGGGTTTGAACCATGTGCCCGCCTCTTTGTGCACTTTCTGCCCCAAACTGAAGAGCTTGTAAGTTCCACAGCTTATGGCGATTGGTTACCAAACACAGTTAATTTTCTTGTTCTCTAGGGACATTAAGTCCAATAAGCTGGAAGTGGTTCCGCAACTAAACAACTGTCGGGAAATCAGAGTATTGTAAGTTAATGGTCGGCTAATGTGAATAATTTAACTAAAAAGTGATTGTTTCTAGAGATTTAGCAAGTAATTTAATTAGGTCTATTGAAGCCAAGCCGTTTCGCGGGATGTACCAAATGCACGATTTGCTCCTGGCAAACAATAAAATCCAGTACATTCCTTACGACGCCTTTTACAACTTGTCACGTCTTCAAGTCTTGTAAGTGAAGTGGTTAAGAAATGGTTCGTAATCTGGAAGCTTTTTTTTAGGGATATGGAAAATAACCACATCTCCTTCATCCATCCCGATGCCTTTCTGCCCATTTCGAAAATCGAGGATTTGTAAGTGCCTTCGAACACCGTAGGGTAAACGCTACAGTTGTTGGCACCCCGAGAGTTATTGGCACATTCTTCATAAAATAATTAAATTTACGGCCTCGTATATATCGATTGACATCACAATAATGTTTTTAATATCTCACGTCATTGTCGCTATAGTAACCGTTAAAACTGCAACCTAACCTAAAATTGGGTTTTGTTAATGTCAGTTCAAAGAGCTGTGTGTCGTTGGGTCTCGTAAGATCAGGTGAGTTTT